TCATCCATACTCCTTCCATGTTGTAGCTAGAGGGATTTACCTAAATTACAAATCTGACTCCCCACTATGAAAATTTATTGGCTTCCCAGTGCCAGGCAGACAGGGTCTAAGCTCTTTGGCACACGTGACCATGGCTCCTATCTACATTCCCGGCTTCATTTCTCTTCCTTCCTGTTCCAAGACCACTGGGCTACTTGAAGGCCACTGAATACCACATACTGTTTCACACTGCCACATTTGGTTATATGAAATACCTTTCCCACCTCTCTTCACTGATTAACCATTATTCTTTCTTCAAATAGCAATTCAAACATGATCTTTTCCAGAAAGCCTTTCCAAACGCACAAGTTAAAGTTACCCTCATTCATGTATTTTGTAGGTACTAGATTATATGGATATATCTCATTAAGTGTGTCTGTCTTCTGCTTCATAGATTGTAAAATTCAGATCTCACTCATTTTTGTACACTAGGATCTTAACCCTATGATGACACAAATCAGTCATTCAATAAATTTTTCTTAAGCTAGTAAACTAGAGCCAGTGGTCCTCTGGGTGAAAGACAGAAAATATTAGGTCTTATATTTATCTAAATTTAATAAGAAGTAAATTAAGTTTTGCTCATTTTTAAGGATTTTTGAAGATTTTCATTTACTTATCTTTAGAGGGGAAGGGAAGGAGAGAAAAGAAGAGAAATATCAATGTATGGTTGCCTCTCATGCATCCCCCGCTGGGAACTGGCCTGCAACCCAGGCATGTGCCCTGACTGGGAATCGAGCCGCGATCCTCTGGTTCACAGGCCCACGCTCAATCCACTGAGCTACACCAGCCGGGGCAAGTTTTGCTCATTTTTAATAAGCAGATTCCAGGGACACCATAACTTGGACCCTGAAAGAGGTATTTTAAGGCAAGATTGGGAGTTCCAGAACGTGGAGGGGTTAACAGCACTAACTTACTGCCTGATACATGAACCCAGTTAAATAAAATTTTAAATTCTATTGTGTAATTTAAACTGAACAAATGATACTGGTATGGTGCCGAGAGCAGACAGGAGGAGCCCTGAGGCAGTGTGACAGTGTCACATAACCCTAGTAGCCAGCCTAGCGCAAGTGAAGACAGAACCCCTGCCCCTGGGTAGAGACCAACAGGAGGAAGTCATTGCACAGAGAGAGTATGCATGAAGCTAGCGAAATGTTTGGATGAGGAAAAAACCCTCCTACCCGCTTCTGATTTTTTATTGAAGGGGAAACTGTAAGATACAGAGGCACACGTACCTAAAGGTTAACATGTCGGCAGGGGGAGGTGCAGACCTGCCAGTCTAGCCTAGGAAAAGGATGGGATTGGCTGGGAAGCTGGACCCTTCCAGAGCCCACAGAAGCTTGGTCCATGAAAAGAATGGAGAAATACCACCCCCCGTACTTTTACTCACTTACACTCCCAGGACCAGCTTATGCTAAGGCCAAGTTTTATGTGCCAGCCAGGGCTTCATGACCCGTAGGTCACCTGCACAGACAGTCCAGGACTGCCTCTCTTCCTCAGGGACCTGCGGCAAGAATGTGTAGGGAGGAGCATCTGCATCTGGAAGCTTTGGCAGCTTTAGGCCCTGGAAGCTTTGGCAGGCTGGCAGTGTGTGCCACACGGGCAGACTCCAGAAAGGGGCCTGAGGCCCAACAGTGATGAGAAAAGAAGCTGAGCTGCCTGGAGGACAACTCAGAACCTGTCACAGTTTCCCAAAGGACGGTATTTTTAAATGGGAGAAGGAACTCCTGCACAACCTTGGACTGGTTTGGCAGAGGGTGGGAGAGTTTTTCTCTCGGTGTTCTGTAGGCCTGCACTGGTCCCAAAACTTTTTGGCACCAGGGACCAGTTTCATGGAAGACAATTTTTCCATGAAAGCAGTGGGGACAGGAGGCAGAGCTCAGATGGTAACGCAAGTGAAGTTTTGGTCCCTCTCCCTAGCTCACCTCCTGCTATGCCGCCAATTTCCTAACAGGCCAGGGACTAGCACCAGTCTATGGCCTGGGTGTTGGGGACCCCTAAAAGGGGATGTGCTCTGAGGCAGAAGCTTGCCATTTTTCCTGATTATGAAGTTTTTGAATAAAAGACCTCTTTCCTTCTTCACCAAACCTCTGCCTCCAGAATTTGCCTATGGGTAACAGGCAGCAGAATCCCATTTCTGTTTGGTAACACTAACCCAAAATGTATGGATGGCTTACATTACTCCTGGAAAAAAATTATGAAGTAAAAGTAATTCTAGTGGACATTTCAAAAATTACAGGGCTGATCTTTCTCTTATTCCCATACAAGGACATCTCCAGCCATATTGTGAGATAAAAACACTGAACAATGTGGACCAAAAAAGGGAGCCCCAACTAAACTTGACCAGTTCAGGGGGAGGGTCACATGAAAGGCCTTACTAACCAGAGGCCAAAGTAACCACATAAGGTAGGCTGAATGTGAAAATGCCTAACTAAAAGCAGGTCATTGTGGGTAGTTACAACCTAAGCCTATAGCTTCCTTAACAAAGGTCAATCTTTACCTTTCAAATTGTCTATTGGCTTTGTGCATCTAAAATAACATACTTTTGAAATGTCAGAGTAATCTTCCATTGCAGGCCCCTGGAAGGCACAACCCTGGCACCACAGCACAAGACCTCATTATTGCCTTACTGCCCACATACCATCTCTACGTGCTGTAAATGTTAAGTGTCCTGGATCCGCCAATGTAAAAGAAGTATTTTTCTCTCTGGTTTCACTTTTTAATCCAATATCAGAGATCAGCCCATTTTGCTTTCTCTCATCTCCCTAATCTACTACCAATGAATTTCATGTAACCATCCTTACATGTCTTCCTTTGATTCTAATGTACAAAGTAAGTTGCAAAACCACCATTCTCTGGAGCATTTTTTCAATCCATTGAGATTTTGCTTCCCATCGATTATTGTCAGTTGACTTACACAAATTCTTATGACCGTTTTTTAAGTCTGGACATTCTTTCACCAACACTCTACATCTGACAAGAAGTCTCACACAAAAAAATTGCTTTTTGATATGTGTATGTACACCCACTTCTGAAAACAACAGAAGGTCCTAAATGGATACAGTGTCTCAAGGTAGTAGATAATGGTAGTATGAAGCCATGACCATTAGCAAGATATGTTAAAGCCATGTTTGCTTCATCTTTTTAGAAGTGTTATGATGTGCATAAATATTAGTGGCAACATATATATAATAGATAAATATTAAATGAATAAAAATGATGGGCATCCTCAAAAACCAATGAGTGTAGAGTGTTGAGACCCCTGCTGAAGACAGAGGTCCTCAGAACCTCTTCCTATTTTACTAGGTCAAAAGGTGAAAAAGCATTCATCAGACACACCAAGGATGAGAGAAGTTTCTTTATAATGAATTAAGTTATGAGGAAAGGATGGCAGGTGACTTAATGGTGAAAAGAAGAACCATGGCAAAAGAAGCATAAAGAAGAGTCTAGGAAAGTAAATAGGAACAAAACAAAAACTTCATGAAAAATATGTGGTCCATTCCACTAGGAATCAGCTCAGTAGTCAAGGCATTGAAGCCAATAGAAGAACTCAAATTTGTGAAGGTATTTCCCAGTGCATTCTCCTACAATGGACAGCCATCACTCTTGCCCATTTTCTCCAAGGGAAAAAGGAGCAAGTTAAAGGGAAGCTTGCATTTTGAGTTCATAATCAATATCCTGTACCCAAACTGGGTTAATAAATCCTATTGCCCAAGTAACTAGTACCATAAGAAGGCCTAAATTAAACTAAGGTTTTTGTGTGACTATATTTGTATTATAAACAAAATACTTAAAATGTTCAACTACTCACTACTCTTATGGGGAAACAGATCTCAGCAATGAAAAATAAATCAGTGAGTACCTACTGAATGTGGGTTTTGTACTAGGACTTTTACAAACATTATCTCCATTAATCCTCACATTAGCCTGAAGTAGTAGACACTTTCTTGATAAAGAATAAATCATCTTTATTTTGAGGATGGAAAACAGAGGTCATACAGACACACGACAGAGTTAGAATCCAAAGTCCCACCATTGCCATCATGGCATCAATATATGATAATACTACCTCTCAAAACTTGACATTACCCAGGCTTATCCACAGGTGATGGTCAGTGATACTCCAGATATTTAATGATAGCTTTGAATTTTGGTTGCTTCTAAAATTTTTCAGTGCTTCAAGGAGATCCAACTTTAAACATATCCAAATATATAAGTACAAATACAAATAAAAATAAAGGAATTCTTCCTACTGAAAATAAGACACTTCTCCCTTATTATTTTTTTACAGAATTTCCTTCTCTGTTCAAGTGCATATAAATCTTCATAATCACTAAATAAACTTCTTGCCAGTCTCACAATTCCGGAACGTTTCCTCAAGACCCATCTTTTTTAATGCATCTATTTGAAATGCAAACATAAAGGGAGATAGCTCCCCTTATCTTCTAGTTTCACCAAGAGGGTAAGAGCCTGGCTTTGGTGATTGCCTTGCTCCAGTTTGCAAAACTACCTCCTGTTATAAAGATTTGTGAAGTTTGTTTTTCCCTAGATAAGGCCAGTGAAGTGCTGGCCCTAATTACTGGGTAAAGTTGGAATGAACTATTTGTGATATCATAGATTGCATCTTCTTGGATATATAAGGGAGTGATTCCTTTCTGTCTTTGCAATCACAGTGGATTGCCTGTGATGTATGTGAACAAGTTTCATGCTTTTCAATAATAAAACTGTTTTCCACCTCTATTATCTTTGTGGAAAGGTTTTCTGGCTGGGGAGAAGTCATTTGGTTTTTTTTTTTAATTTCCCCAGTGATAATTATATGCACATTTTCTTGAGCTTGCAACCAGCAGAAGACAAATTCATGGGAAGATGCTTTTAAGCCTGTGGTCATTAAATACAATGTGCACTCTGGACTTCATGTCACAATTTTTGGTTACCAAATCTATGCTCCTGGTAGTCATCCCATCTGCAATTTCTGAGGTGCTCTGAGAAAAAAAGTTTGAATTTTTCCTGGAGTTGTTGTTTCTATTATGTCTTCCTTCAACCAAAACAAGCAGGAGTCACATGCTTAATCCCATTGCGAGGAAAAAAATCATTTGGTGGTTATAAACTCACTTTGGTATATGCTGCAGTATGCTCAAATACTTCAGTACCTCCAGATGCTGAGACTGTGGGTGGTTCTCAGCTGAGTCCTGTCCAGAAATTGCCTCCAGAGGAAGAAGACCACCTTGTCCAAAGTTAGGTCTCCTCCGTGGGAGCAGCCTGCATCCGATGACTGTAGATGGATAGATGGAGATGGCACAGTGTGGGGGGCAGAGGGCCCTGGTCTTCAGGCACAGCTCTGAAAGTCATCTAGGACCGCTGAGAACTCTGTTGCAGTATCACAATTCAACTTCTTCTGCCAAGTCCTGCTTCCTTCATTCCTCTTAGATGCTGTTTCCAAGCTCAGGTCCGCTCTCCCCCCAACCCTGCCAAAACTCCTGAATGCTAAACAAAAAAGGTTAGGCTATAATAAGAAATAAAAAGCATTTATTTGAGCAAAGGAGGACAGATTCAGGTAGCAATCTAAATTGTGCTCTGAAGGAACAAAAAAAGTTAGTATTTATAAAGGGCAAAACTATTCTCTTTAAGGTCCTCCATATAAATAAAGGATGTTGGCTAGGTTAGCAGGGATCGGTTAGGCTCATTATGTAAATAGAGAATGCTCATAGTCAAAATGGATGGTTTCTTTCAAGATGAAAAATGCAGCAGGTCTAGCCACCATGATGAAGAGAAATAAACTCCATACAGATTCATACAACAACCACTGATCCAGGATGTTTGCTGTTCGTCTTTGAGCTCAGTTTAGCAGCAAGTCAGCAACTTAACAATAGCTGTGGAACATGACACAGCACAGACACCATTTCCTCTCTGGCTTCTCGACATTTACATTTAAGTGACACTCTTAGCAATGCTTATTCCATTTTATTTTCTCCACTATCAATGCAAATCTCAGTGTTTCCTGAGAACTCAACTTGCAATAAGACAAAATTTTTTCCAAATGTCAAGCAGTTACTTATATCTGAGAATGTGACAGTAAACATAATGAACATAAATAAGCCAGTGTTTCCTGATACCATCTTACAGTACAAGAGCTATATTTAGGCAGGGCTGCCACTGGCCCCTTCAGCACCTTTTTATGAATTACAAAAAGGCACTCCCATTGAATGGGTGGAGCCTTCTGGCTACATGGTTAGGTGAGTTGAGCAGCAAGGGCTGCATTTTAGTCTATACTCTCCTTCAGCAGATACCCTTATGCACTGATTAATCTACACAACAGTAACAAAGATCAGCATGTACCAAAGGAACAATTGTGCATTACTCAAAAGCAATGTAGTTCATTGAGGGGAATTGATAAGTAACAATTTAACAAATGGTTATACACAGGTGTTTGAAACGCAGTAGGTAGAAGGACACTTGGAACTATTGCCAGGAAGCATAAGGGTATAGAAAATATGAATTGAGTTGTCATGATAGTGGCTGTGAAAATACTTCATGCATTGCCCTGACCCATGCAGTTCAGTTGGTTGGGCTTCATCCCACAAAGCAAAAGGTCACCAGTTTGATTCCCAGGTCAGGGCACATGTCTGTATTGCAGGTTCAGTCCCTAGTCGGGGCACACACAAGAAGCAACCTATTGATGTTTCTGTCTCACATCGATGTTTCTCCTTGTGGGGGCAACTTTGCCCACAAGTCCCCCTGTCTTCCACGGATGAAAATGAAACTACCAGCATGATCTGCTTTGGGGAGGAGAGGTGCTCAATCTCTCAGAGGAGAAAAGCCAAGAACCTCTTCTTCAATGGCTTTTGGTTGTAATATACAGGAATACAGGTAAAGCTCATTATTCAATGTCAGGCGGCAAGGATCAAACAGTAGATAACATTTCAAAGAAATTGAGGGCTTAATCTGAGTCAGTGTCTGTCAGGTCGGGGTTGCAAAAACTTTGGGAGACATACTCATTTCCTGCTCAGACCCTTGTCATATGAATGAAAGCAGTCTTAGCAAAGCAGGCTTCACAGGACTTTGTGAATTCTTTTTTATGCCTGATCACCCTGTAACACTCTAGTTGACAAAGGGATGCACTGCCTTCCCAGTCAGAAGTTTTTAGGCTTAAATGGATTAGAGCCAGGAAGCGCTTCCCCCAGAAGACATAGGCACTTGGCTATGTCTGAATAGCCAGGGGGTGAGGGTCCATCACTCCCTCTTTCTTGCAGCCCCCCCTCAGTCCTTCCTTAAGGGCCTCCCAAATGATAGTGTCTGGCTTAGGTTGCCCCCCTCTGAGGGGTCTTAATCTGTCGCAGACTAACCCACCAGGCATTGGGGGCAGGGGATAAAGCAGAAGCAGCATTGCTGCCAGAGACAAGCTTTATCTCCTTAGTGGCTCGCATTCTGGAGTTCACTCACTCAGCCTTATCCATGGGGGGCAGTTACAGCTCCTGAAACCAGGCACAGCGGTTCCCAACATCTCCCCCTTTATTTTTCCCTCCCTCCCTCTCTGTAAAAATAAGTAATTAAAATCTTTAAGGAAAAAAAAAACATGCATCTGAAGGAATCAGAAATATCACCCCAAAATATGCCTCTTTGACATATTTAGAAGGCAATTAAGAAGCAGTAAAAGCTCAGAAGGCTATAAATCTTTTTTAAAGATTTTATTTATTTATCTTTAGAGGGGAAGGGAAGAAGAGAGGGAGAGAAATATCAATGTATGGTTGCCTCCGGCGCATCCCCTGGCGGGAACTGGCCTGCAACTCAGGCATGTGCCCTGACTGGGAATTGAACTGCAATCCTTTGGTTTGCAGGCCTTTGGTTCGCTCCATCCACTGAGCTACACCAGCCAGGGCTTATGAATCTCTTTTTTACTAAAGATCCTTATCAGCTCAGAGATAAGTACCAGAGAAATATGCAAACAAACCTTGTTAATCAAACCCTTATCTTCCTAGTCACTTCTTCACCTTTGATTCTATCTTCAACTGTCTTAACAGTTTCTCACAACTTATTGGGTGGGGTATTTTTTGTTTATTGTCTAGAAGGTACAAAAGCTTTCTGCTCTAGTCACTTTTTGGCCTTCATTTACATACATTTAAAATTCAATAAAATTTGCATGTTCTTTTCCTATTAATCTGTCTTTGTCAGTTTAATTTTCAAACCTAGTCAGAGACCCTAAGAAGGTGGAGGAAAAAAATTCCCCCCACCTACAGATCAAATTTAAAAATAGAAAAAGGTTAAAAAAAAACCAGCAAAGTTAGTGGTCAGGAAAAAAAACAGGTAAAGATAAAATATAGGGACGAGCCCAGGCAAATACTGTAGGACTGTATCTACAAGTGGACAGTAAGCTCTGGGCAACAAGTCTTGCACTGAAGTCTTCCTGTATGTGTCTTGTTTCTGTATATAGTACTGTTGCTTGCTCTTAAGGAAATATCTGAGAGTGAGAACATTAAAAGAATTCTGCAGTTGAGATGTTCCAAACATATGGTCTTCTCCTAAAAAAGTAACTGAAAACATGTATAATTGTCGAATCACACTTGCATGAATTAATGAAGAAAAGGTTTTCTGGCACTCATTGATTGTTCTTCACTCTCAGTTCAGAAGGAAAGGTAAAAAGTTGAGGGTGGGATGACAATTATCTCTTTATTTAATCTCATTCTACATTTATTGAGTTCCTACCTTTTGCTGCATTGTAGGTTCTATATTGTATATTCTTGTGTCTAAATAGTTGCTCAAAGTAAACAGCATAATCAAATAAGCCAATTAATTTTCTTGCAAGGCATCTTCCAATAAATCAGATATTGTTCTATTCTTTGCCATCTCCATAACATCTTCTCTAAGTGTAAATATTTTGTTCCCTGTAGAGGAAAAGGCAATCTGAACTTAACTCTTTGCTTCCTTAAAGCAGAGTTTTTCAAATCTTGTCCCACACCTCTCCTATTTCAAATATTCTAACAATCATAGAGGAGAAGAAAGCACCTAAATCCTCCAAAATACACCAATAGGTCGATAGACGTGGAAACAAGAAATAAAATGGATGCAGAGGCATTTTTCAAACATCAATCTTCTCGTATTTTACCTATTAAGTTCAGTCACTGTCTGGTCTGGGCTACCTCTGTACCTGGCAACTCTTCTACAGGTACAGTTAGCACATGGAGTGTATAAACTTTCTATTTACTTTGCTCCTTCTCCACTAGACCACGGGTTGTTGGAAAGCAAGAGCCAGGTCTTAATTATTGGCATATCCCCTGACTTGACAGTAAAGGCTAGTCCACGGGAAGTATGCTAATGGTTACCTAGTTTTATAAGCTAGAGAACAAATCTAAAGGGTTATCAAGAAAAGGATTGCCTGGAATAGATATTAAGAGTTGGAATCTGTAGCTAGAAGACTCAAGAGGCAGGAACGGCAGAACTGCCAGTAAGGGGAGGCAAGCAATAAGGGCCGGCTAAAGCAAACCTCTGAAACAGTAACTATGCTCTGAACAGACTACGTGAAGAAAACAGATGAGAGACAACGGGATGCTAGCACAAAACATAAGAAAATGGGATATTTAAGTTTGCTATTTGTTGTGTGTTGTACTTTTATATCTTCAGTATCTGAAAGTTGAGACTTCCAAATGATCGTGATCCCTCTCCATCATCACCCATGCCCAACAGTCCTAGTTTCTCTCTAGTTTTCCTTAACCCTTTCTCAGTATTTTATTCTCATTGCTGCCACTACAGTAGTATCCTCCTAATTTGTTTTCAGTCCCTGAAAAACTGTTCTCTGATCTGAGAATATCTTCCTAAATTTTAACTCTCATTATATAACTTCCTAGTTCAATAACCTTCAACCTCCAGAATAAAATTCTAAGTCCTTATTCTATTGTACAAATAGCATTTTGAAAAATGCATCTACCACTTAATAGCAAGGTGACTACACAAGTCACTTTTACCACTCTAAGGTTTAGATTTCCAGGGAGAAAGAGGGTGACAACTAAGAAGATTAAAAAAGAATGTGCCTAGCCCAATGCTGGCTACCTGACAAGGGCTCAGTATCTTTCTTCCCAGCTTACCACCCAGACCAGCATTCCAGCCGTGATGGATGGTGTCCTCACCCAGCTCCGAACACTGTGCTTCCCTGCTGTCCTCTGTGGTCCCTCAGATGTCAGAGCACAGGTCATATTACCCTATTCTCCTTGTATCTTATTTATTATCAGCGACTTCAGATATAATTATTATTATTTTAAGTAATTAGGCTTTCCTCCCCTTCTAGATTGAAAACACCTCCAGGACAGAGGTGAGATCTTGTTTACTCTCTTCTTTCCGGTACTGTAGAGTAATTTACTGCACATAACAGGAACTCTAAAAATGTTTACTACATTGAATTTATAGTTTTACATAATTTATCTAAGCTTTGAAGTAACGAACAACTTTTGGTTTAAGAATTAAAAGAGTTAGAAGCCTAACAGACAATTACCATATTGTATACACAGTATATTCCCCTAGCACCCAACAAAGGCATTGAAATAAAGTCAGTTATTTCTGACTTTATATTCCTACATTTTGCTGATTAATTTGTGAACACCTTACTGCAGTGAATACAGTCTTCAAAAATAAGTCCTTTTAGTTTAAAAGGACAGGTAAAAGAGAGGATAGTAATATCTATAACATCCATCAATACTACTAGAAAAGTGCCTAAATATCAATGGTATTGAACAGCAAAATTATTCTGCTCTACAATGCGTTTTAATTTGAATCAATTTGTACTCTTTATTTCCACAGACACAAAAACTTGAAAAATGAGCTTAAATCGCATGCAGGAATGTATAATGGCATATCAGGGTGATTTAGCTGAACTGTATTCAATTAACAAAAGTTGTTTCCATTTTATTTTTGGTAAATAATATTAAGGGCTAATCTTTGAACAGATTAAAATATAGTCATGCTGCTTTTTTTCTTTTATCTTAAAAGTAAAATAACCCAAGTCAAATTTTTACAATAGAGAGAACAAAAGTTACAGCTGATGTATTTTTTTATTTTAACAATTATTGCTGCTAATTCTTTAAAAATATATGGCAAAATGGTTAGTTAAGATCATGATCTGTTGTCAGAGAGACCCCAGGTTAAATGTTATAGCTTTAGCCTATAAATTTTCAATTTACTTACCTACAAATCTTGATCAAAGATTACTTAGCGTACAAATCTTCACTTCCTCACCTGTAATACAAAGATAATAGGAGTATCTCCTTGAAGGATTGCTGTAAGAATAAAATGATTAAATATACTGAGCATAAGGGACTGTGCCTGACACAAAGGGAGGTCTTGATAAATGGTAGCTATAATAGCCACCACTATTACATAAACTTATTTAGTAATTATTTACAACTTGGTTATGTATTTAGTATGTATCACCAACATATCCTCAGCTATTTTTAGAAGTAATTTTTACAAAGCAGTCTTCTTTCAAAGGAGACCCCAAGGCTACTGACCACTCCAGCCAAGACTCCCGGTCCTCACCCTCTCCAGGGCGTCCGCAGCTTCGTGATAGACCGGCCCCTGAGGCTGCGCCGCGGACTGGCGTGCTCAGCGGAGTCCGGCCCGCGGAAGCCGAGCGGGCGCTGGCCTGGGGCGGGCGCCGGACCCAGGCCCGGCTGAGCGGCGAGTCTTGCCTAAGCTGCCCGCGCCGCGCCGCCCCGCCCGCTCTGCGGGGTGAGTGACGGCGACAACAGGTGCAGTGCGGTGTCTGAGCTTCTCCGGAGCTCCGAAGTTTGGCTTGGGCCCGGGGGGTCAGAGTTTGCCGGTGGGAACTGCCTTCCTCGCCTTGCACCAGCCTTACGACGTCGCCCGTCAGCTGGCTCTTGCACCTTAGTAAAGCCTGAGGTCACCTCTCTCGAAACCCTCGGAGTCCTGAGGCCGACTTTTCTCCAAAGGGGAGAACAGGGCCAGGCTTCCGGTGCATGGAGTTTTGCATAACCTTTTGCTCTCTCCTTCCCGGCCGTCCGAAAGCAGGCGAGAGCTGCCCCAGCACCGAGTCCTCGATCCGCACAGCCCACGCCCACTCCGACTTGCTGCACGCTCTGTCCCTGAGACGGTCCAGTTCGGCGACGACTGGCCACCCCCGAAACCGGCCCGCCCGCACCCCACCCCGGCTTACCGCGCCCGCCCGCCTGCACACTGCGACGTTCGCTGCCCCTCCCCTCCACCTCCCGACCCCGCCCCGGGTGGCAGGTTCAGGCCCCGGGTCCGAGCCTGTGCCCCTGCAGCTGCCGCCGTCGCCGCCAGAGGGAGAGAGTCTCCGTCGGGAAACGTGGTGCAGTCTCCTTGGTGCGAAGGTGCTTTCAAACTTAGGTTTCTGTTCCTTTCCCCCGCGTTTCTGAAGAGCGTAGAGGAAGATGGAGAGCGACTCTGGGGCGGTGAGTACAGCGGTCGGGGCCCTTGGCCCCGGGGTAACGGGGACATGGAACAGAGTGGGCTCCGTCCCTGAGAGGCTGGAAGGACGAGGTCTGGAGCCCAGACGCCCGCGATTTTGTTGGGAAGAAACGTGGACAGGGCACCCCATCAACCACCCCGAAGAGCGGCCTGCCCATAAGCCCCGTCGGACTGTGTTGTGGGTTCGGGAGGTTGCTGCCACTTTGGTATAGACGGGCTGGGGGACCTCGGAAATGGCTGGGAGATTTGGGGAGGCGGCGGGTGGCAGAGCCCAGTGCACCAGACTGGGTCCAGGCCAGATAAACAGCTTTCCCGCCGAAAGTGGGCTTGGCTGCGTCTTTGACGCTCGCTCCAGCAGACTCAGCCCAGCCTCCCACTGCGAGCAGTGGGCAGGGCGGCCGAGCCCTCTTCTCCCCGACTGCTCGGTGGGAACTTGAAGGCCTGAGCGCCCTGGGAGGCGGGCACCGGTGGCCCGGGTCGGTGAGGATACATTAACACCGAGTCCTCTCTTGAGGGGATCGGGCCGAGCGGGGGGAGGGGCAGGAGGCCTTGCAGACCCTGGCAACGTGCAGCCGTGCTCGCCAGCAGCCAATCAGCGCGTGCTACGCTGGGGTCGTGGGATTAGCTACGCACGAGGCGTCGGGTCGGTGCCGTTGAGGGTTCCCGCCACGGCTGCTGGCGGGTTTGCGGGGCAAAATTTCTCGCTGGTTAGCCTTTTTTTCCCTCCCGCACTGTGGTGGGGAGGGGGTGGATCCACGTGTCAGTTCCCAAAGTCACGATGACCCAAGAGAACCCGAGGAAGTTGTCTCTGCAGCCATTTCCTCCAGCGCCTCAACTTGCTGGCCTCGGAGGGGAAGGAGCTTCGAGGCCGTGACTGCGACGGTTAGCCCACCCTCTTCCTGTTGTCTGTTGGCGAAGTAGATGATAGATTTCGGATTAATTCTCAACGGGTGGAGGTAGTGAAGGCACATTACTTTGGAGGAGATTTTTTAAAAACTCTCCAGTGCTGGAAGTTTGCTAAGCTAAGGACCCTTCTAATAACCTAGTTACAGCGCTTACCTAGATGGTTTTCGTACACTTGCAAATTTATTGCCAGCGGGATTTCAGGCATTTGTGTTCAACTCTGCATTGCTATGCTTCTCTAAGGAGCTTAGGTGTTGCCACTACCTGAACCTTGTTACTACTAATATCAAAATATTTTGTAGGCTATTATTCATACTGTGTTCTAAAGCCTGCTGACTACTGGTTAGCATATCGTGAGCAAGAAGAAATGATTCATTCGATTATTCATTCGTTCTACCAATATTTACTGAATCCCTGCTATCTATACATCAGTACTTTAAAGGCTGCAGTGAACAAAACGGGCAAAACCCCTTCCCTCATGAACATTACATTATAGGAAAGAGATAGACAGTAGGCCTAAGTAAATTATATATTATGTTGCAAAGTGATGAGTGGTAACGAGAAAAAAAGCAGTTGGGATTTACAATAGAGCAGGAGCCTTAGAAACTGGAGAATGAATTGTATTGGATGTAAAAAGTTGATGTTTTTCTTCTCTCAGTATCGTATAATTTCCCAAGATTGGAAATAAAGCACTTTGTTAACTTCTGTTCATGTCATCTCTCTCAGTGAAAAAGAATGAGGTTCACTTTTATTTAAACAAATTTGAGAACAAATGAGCTCTCCCATTGAACACTTGTTTTTATGATTTTTTTAAATTGCAAATAGGTTATTTCTACATTTTAAACCGGCAGAGAGACTAGATTATATCTACTATTCTGTAATTTCTAACAGTGCAAATATACAATTGAAAAATAAAAGTGAGCATCCTAGAACCATCTATTCTGGGCACTATGCCCTACAACTAAAGTCACTGAAGTTACAAATAACCTTCAAATGCCCATAAAGGATGCTGATAAGATGGGACTCTAAATTTCTTTAATTATAAACAACATAATGATTAGTAAATGTGATGACTTTTCTGTGGTTTAATAAATGTTTTTATGAACTCCTTTATTAGAAAGCATGTGTTTTTCCTCCCTTAAGATTAGATGGAGAATAGAACCCATAAGGTTCAGCCCATAGGCTCATAGTCACCACTGGCCTAGTCATTTGTACATCTTGCAGAGATTAATTCAGAGATGATGGTTTTGTTGGCTAATGAAGTGAAAGGGGAGAACAAATACAAAAAAGAACAATTCCATTATCTAAATTGAAATTCATTTTCATGTATTTGTTTCTCAGAGAATTGAAATTATGAACTTCAAGCTTTTCAAAACACTCATTTAGTATGTTGGACTGTCCCAGAAGTCTGTTTAGTGTTCTTAGAAGGAAAATAATTAGCAAGTTCTTCAACTGGTTTCTCTTCAAAATTCTATTCTCAAGTCTTTTTCTAGAGGTACCTTAAGAGTCTACTCTCTTGCCATTGTGCAAAGGCTCATATGTTAATGTATATTTATTAAAATCTAAATTAGGTCTCCTGATTCTGAACATATGGATATACACGTCGTTGGTATAAAAATGTATACTTAATGAGTTATAGGTATGTAACTTTGTATGAAATCAATCAAATCTTCAAACTGACAAGTGCACTTAAAAATCTGATATTAGCCGTTGCCAGGTGATTCAGTTGGTTGGAGCATTGTCCCATACACAAAGAGATTTCTGGTTCAATTCCTGGTTAGGGCACATTCCTAGGTTTTGAGTTTGATCCCCCATTGGGACAGATCCAGGAGGCAACCAAACCATGGTTTTCTTTCATATGTCTGTGTCTATCTCTCTCTGTCTCTCTCTCTCCCCCCTCCCTCCCTGCCTCACTTCCTGTCTCTCCCAAGTCAATAAACATATGCTCAGGTGAGAATTAATAAAATAATTTTTAAAAATTAAAACTTCGGGTTAGCCAAAAAACAATGAATTTAAGTGTCAGTGTTCATTAGTTTGTCAGTAGGGACACAAAGATCACTAGGAACACACCTGTAGTTTAATAAACTTGGGTCTGTTAAATTGTTGCCCTTCCTAGGATATACACCCTGGGGCCTGTCAGCAAGACAGTGTTAGAGAACTTAAAGTATTTAGGCTTATCGTTGGCATTTTTTAGGGAAAGTTTAAGAAAGAAGGGCTTTACTTTGAAATGTGTGTTATCAGAATATGGGAGTAATTGTATGATTGGTATGTTAATTCTTAACTTGTAGACAAGAAGAAGCTAAAGCTGTGATAGATAAAGAAGGAACAGTCACTCATTTAAGCCAGAATAGAGGGATATTTGGTCATTCTTTGTGGTTTGGACAATGCTTTTGTTTTTGCCAATGTTCAAGTATGATTGTGGTATGGTCTTATTTTTATCCTGATCCATCACAGTCATGGAATAGCCTTGCCTGATGTTAGTGTTCTGTTAACAAGAGAATGCCACAGCCAACTTCTAACACTACCAGGACCCAGTTGGTTTTACCCAGCCAGCTCCTAACTTTCCATGTCTATTTTTCTCTTTCTCAAACTTCTTTTTAAGTTTAATATTCCTCCTTAATATTTATAATATTAAATAGAACACTTAACAATAACTAAGATAAGTATGTTAAATAATACTGCATTTTCTATCTTTATGTTGTCCTCAAAAGTTATTAGCTTTCACTATAATCTTCATAGATTAGAATAAAATTAAAGTCTGACATACATATTATTTAAATGACTTATCTTTTTGAAAAAACATGTTTTCAGCTTGCATCAAAAGTTACATCCAGTGCTAAAAGTTTAAAAGAATTTTATTTTACAGCAAACATCAAATCAGACGCAAACAGATTCATTATCTTCATCCCCTAATCCTGTGTCACCTGTGCCTTTGAATAACCCAACAAGTGCCCCAAGATATGGAACAGTGATCCCTAATCGCATCTTTGTAGGAGGAATTGACTTTAAGGTACCTATTTATGCATATAACATGGTGTGGTTTTTGCATTAGAAGTTATTTTATTTCTCAGGAATTACTTTCTTGTACAACTATAAAAATAACGTGTTTGCTATTTGTACAGTGATTAATAGGTTTCAAATTGTCTTAATATAAAGAATATTTTCAAAAACAATAAAGGCTAAATAAAGCATATATAATTGTTCAGTTTCACATACATGGAAATTGAGGTTCATTGACTTGCGTATAGGCTCTTAGCTGAGTGACAGAGTAAAGACCAGAATCCCAGTTTTCTAACTCATAGCTCCATAGTCTTCATTTCACCATTCCACACTAATTACATTTTATTGCATAATGTTCCAGTAGCCCAAATAATGTGATTATAATTTGCAAAAGAAGACTCAAAAACACACAAAAAAAATTTAGTCCTATAAAATTCTGTTTCTTTATCCCAACTTTTATTTTCAGATTCCTGAGTAAACTCCTAGACTTCCATCTCTTGCAAATTGCTTTCTATCAACTAATTTAAAATTTGATAACCAAAACAGTCCTGTGATCTTGCCAGAATAAAACATCTCAACAGTAATATAGTCAAGTAACATAATCAGCTATTTCAGAGAATCATACTTTGTGAGATGTTTTGCAGCATCCCAGTTGGAGGTAGTAGTGAACACCTACAGAAAGGGCGTTCATGGATATTTTAAGTGCAATATGCCCTTAGTTCCAAGTGGATATATGGAAAGATTTTCAAGCTTCCATATTATGTATTGGAAATTACAGTTTAGAGTTGTTGTCTTTCTTAATGCAACAAAAAAAATATCCTGTGCCATTAGGGTATTCTATTTGATGGTTATAACTCACTATTTCTCTCTAATCAGTCTGTCACAGTTTGGATAAAATTATATTTTTCCTGCTCAAGAGAAATACTACATTTAATGTATTTGTCAAAATAATGATTCTTAAGCAAATATATGATTGGTTTACTAAAAATAAAGTAAGAAAAAGGATTTCTTATGGAAATGCTTATTTTTTAAAAGATTTTCCGGTTCTGTAGAAAATATTAATGGCAGACAATAAATATTCAAAGTGATCATTCTTGTTCAGAATTTATATTACAACAGCTTAGTATATTTTTAAATAAATCATCAATAAATGTAAACATTTGTATGGCTGAGTTATTCTAACTTACTGAAACGTACAGCCACAAAATGAATTTTGGAGGCCATTGTTACAATTCAGTCATAGCTTTAGGGTAACTTCTAGAGTTCCCTCCCTTATGCTTATACCTTTTCCAAAATCATATATAAATGTCTGTAATGAAACAGTTTATGTATCAGTGAGCAGTCTCAAACTTTTTAAAAAAAGTTTTCTCTTTAGAAGCCTATAGCCCATGTCTTTAATATTTAATCATTTGACTTTCTGTCTCTTAACTTTTCAATGAAGTCAAGGTGCAATATTGAGCTATTAATTCTTTTACCAGAAATTAGAGTGAATTCATTTGTTTTCAAATCTCTAATAGAATCTTTAGTCTGGTGTTGATTCCATTTTGTAGTTATTGAAATAAGAGGCATTCATATAATCCTAACCAGTGTGGCTCAGTTGGTTAGGCATTGTCCCACAAAGCAAAAAGTCACAGATTCAGTTTTTGTCAGAGCACATGCCTGGGTTGTGGGTTCCTTCCCTGGTCAGGGAGTGAGCGAGAGGCAACTGATCATTGTTTCTCTCTCACATTGATGTCTCTCTCCTTCTCTTTCTCTTTCTTGTCCCTTCTCAAATAAATAAAAAATAAATAATCATTTGTTAATCTAACAAATTAGATTAGATTGTTAGATTAACTCAGTATTTGTCATCATCCAGTTTAGTAGGCTTTAGGATACTAACCTAGAAGCCAATAGTGTGTATAAGTAGCAGGTGTAGCAGTGGAACTCAAGGCATAGCTTTGTTATTAGGCATGTGTTTACCCATGTTAATAAAGAAAAAGTTTTCTGGGGACATTTAAAACTCCTTGGGGGCAAATAATTATAAGCTGAACCAGCAAATGAAATTGCAATGAATTTAGTACTAATACTTTAGGAAAGGTGATATTAATCTATTACGAGACTAATTAAAACCAGGTATGTCAAACCCATCTTTATAGATATCTTGTACATTATAGTATAATTGTGACTCATTTTTAATATCATCATAATGTCTGTATTTAGCTGAAATGTATATTAAGTATGATTTTTTAAAATCTAAAAACTTTAAATCTTATAGCTACTTCATTGTTACCACAAATTGAGTCCCAGTACTTTTGGAAATACATTCTTTTCCTAAGAACATTACTCTTCCAGGATACTGTGCTGATTAAAATAGTGACTACTGTAGACCAGGATAACTTAGTTCCGCTGCCTTGACTATGGGCCTCCTTAGTTAACGGAGGTTTCCTCCACTTTCTGAAAGTAGAGCATTCCTGTGAAACCTTTTGTAAAACTGAAGTGTTATAAGGAAGGAAGTATTTACATATGGAAAAGTTTTTAGTGTTTCCCAGACCCCAAAAGTTACCTACCAAGTCATACCAAATGTGTTTAATTATGTCCTGTTTTAAGCTAAGCATAACATCCTTATAAGCTCACTCAGGTTTTTCTGATACCTTAGGACAAATCTTGCTCAGGGATACATAAAATAAATTGAGATAAAGTGCAGATGCTCACAGACACAGTTCGAGGCTCTGGTGGTTTGATGCTGAGCTGCTGAGTGCAGTTCCAGGCGAAGGCGCTTGGCAGTGCCATTCTTTTTGGTTAGGCTGCCAGCTGCCTCTGTAAGGGCTCACTGCAAAAATGCTGAATGCTATTTTTACTTTTGCCTTTTCTTATAAAAGCAAAAATCCTCTGATTTTCATTCCATTAGCTAAAACAGGTACTAATGTACATCATTCATAAAAGCAGTGATGTAAGGCAAACTTTCAAAAAATAGGGGATACCTGTATGTCCTTACTATAACTATAGCCACGCCTAATTCAAATTATTTTTTTTAACTGGCCAACTAGAGAATAAGAATTCCTTTAAATGCTGAGCTTTTTTTGTCATGTTAAAACAGTTCAGCTTACAACATTTTATTGTTGAACTATGTTTAACAATGTAGTTACGCCGTAAAGCAAACTATTTACATATATTGATTTTAATAACCTAGTAGTTTCATGTACTGTTTTAATGAGCAGTATTCTTATATTCATATTATTATTTATTTATAAATGTTTGTCTCCAAAACAAGCATAATAAATAATTGTTTTATATTTTATCAATTAAAAATGTTCTTTGTGTTTTCTTTCTATGCTATTAGACAAATGAAAATGATTTAAGAAAATTTTTTTCCCAGTATGGGTCTGTAAAAGAAGTGAAGATTGTAAATGACAGAGCCGGAGTATCTAAAGGGTTAGTATCTCTATAGATAGTCCATAGAATTAACTATTGTATTTTCATTGGGTTACTAGGTTTTATATGCTTACTTACTTTGGTTCCATTTTTTGAAAAGTGAATTTTGTGCTATTTTTCCCCTCCTATCTTTAGTTTTGTTGTGTGTATGTGTTTTGGATGGAGAAGGACACTAACTTGTTGGGAAGTTATTGTTCCATGTGTTAAGGGACCATTCAGTGTTACATAGCAGGCACTTAATGCTGATTATGTAATGTCCAATAGCTAAGGAACCAAAAGCTAAATGAATCAGATACTTATGGAAATTTATACCTGATTTAGACTAAAGAGAGCTTTACTTGAAAAGAGCTGACACAAAGGAATGTCTGTAGGTTGTGCCTCAGAGACTTAATTAAAGGACTAATTTGAGAACCATAACTCAGGAATAATTTTCATTTACTAATCAAGGAGAATGAAAATTCAGAAGAAAGCAGTAGAATTTGTCTAGAAGTGTCTAACGACCTGAGAGCTGTTTCAGTGGATTGGTATGTGTAAAAGCCAAATTTCAGAGAAGAGAAGGGTAATTTACATAGTTTGACTGCAAAGTTAAAGAAAATGGTTCAGGCAGTGAAGATCAGTGCAAAATTGTATTTGTTTTCTTGAGAGGCAAGACACATATATACAGGTGTGTGTGTGTGTGTATACACACACAAATATATATACATGAGAGAAGGGACCAATAAAGTGGATAGAAAACTATTAATGGGAAACAACATATGACAAGTGGGTAAACAAATGAAATATTTCCTCAGACTGATGAACAATATTAGGGTAAAGTGAGATGGTATTTCATTTGTTTGGCTAGTAAAATTTGCAGTATTTTGGTAATGTCCATTTTTTGATCATTGAAAATCACATAGAAATACATATAAACTGTATTTTATGCCTTTTCCACTGGGTGGTGTATGTGTTTTGTCAAAAAAAATTGTAAAAATATTTCCTTAACCCTTGTTTAATGTTTGGGCAAATAGAAAAAGAAACTTTATATATAATATAGTAATTATAAATTTAAGAAAATAATCAGATATACATATAGCACTACTCAGAGTTTTCTTAAGTTACTTAAATAGAAATTATGTTTTGGAGGGATATGCTTTTTATTTATTTCATTTCTTTTTGTCTACCTTGTTTGGCTTTTTTTCTGTTTTGTATCTTGATCATTATGTGAATTATACTCTGAAGGTAACAATTATATATGAAAAGTAGAAGTATAGGCTGTACAGATTTTTTATTTAATTTGGGAAATATACTAATAAATGTATTACCAAGTTATGTGTGCTCATAGTAATAAATAATTCATTGTATACTCCTTTACCAATGAAAAATTTTTATTGTGTTGAAATTTTTTAATTTAAAGGGGTTTTTTTACTTTGATATTTAAGTCAAACTTCTATTATTTTAAAGAGATTATTGCTCTGGACTGAAATTTATCACATCCATAAGCCAGAACATGTATCTGTCATCCTTTTCTGCTTTATGCAGCTCAGATCTGAAGTTGTTTCAAGATCCCGGAGTTTTTTTTTCTAGTCTCCTTACTCTGAAAGGAGGTGATAGTGTTAGGCTGTAAATAATTCCCGTAAGTTTTGCTTGTGGGTACACCATAGAATAATGCTCACTCCTACAATGACCCATTCTTAGAAAAAATATTGAAAAACAAAATTTTAATATACCTCTAAAGTAATGTTCTAAGAAAATAATTAATTTACTTGTATAGGTATGGTTTCATCACTTTTGAAACACAAGAAGATGCACAAAAAATTTTACAGGAGGTAAGATTTTATAATGTATTTAATTTTATTTTTGGAACTTCTTTCTTTGAAAATAATCCTTTGAGGTATTTGTTTAATAGTAGGGTTCCAATATAGTGATCAGTTGCTAAAAATAATTAACTGATTTGCATCTTACAATTGACACTGGTCTCAATAAAAAATGAATTAGTAAGAAAACATTTTCTGAATTAAAGAAAAACTTTATCTGCAGAAAATAAATTTCAAAACATTACATGAGTATGGTTGTGAAGTTGTAATACAATTTTTCATTTTATTTGCTGAAACTAAGAACTTGGAAATATATCTTTTCTGAAATGTTAATAAGACTTTGAATTCCTTAAAAAACAATGCAAATATAGATTCCTAGAATGAGGTTATCTGAGATTATATTTCTCCTATGAAATCTTTATAAAAAAAATCTGTAGTCTGCAATTCAGTGTAACAACTTTAAATTTGGCAAATGCAACATTTAATTTAATTTTTTAGAAAAAATAGATTTTGCATCATATATTATTAAATCATTTTTACTCAATTAATTCTTCTTATTTGTAGTAGCAATGTCCTATAGCCACCACAAATACTTAGCAGATTTTGAACTGCTGTTTCCAGAAGAAATACAGGGCTAGGTTTTCACAGGCTTTTGCTGGACATATTTTCATCAACCAATCAATACATAACTTTGTTTCTATGTGTGTTTCTTTTTAAAGACATATTTAATGTATATTATTGATTCATTAATATTGACCTCATTCCTGAATTAAGGCCATCTAACACATTTTCTCCATAAGGCACATGATAGCCTTTTTATGCTTAAGAACACTAAGCAGCACTTTAGCTTTTTTAAGTAACAAAATCACCAACATAAAGATAAAAATGCAAAACATATGGCACTATATAGAACACAAAAAGGACATTTGTTTACAGTATAAAAGCTAAATAAGACAGTGTCACCTTCTCTAACCTCAGTTGGGACCATATGTTTCAGGTAACTCAAAATTTTTCAACTCTCCGCTCTTGTGGACTAATAATTGCCACAAATATTGATTTTGAGATCACATGTAAATTTTAATGAGTAGGTTAATTCCCAAAGTTCTGTGAATAGAGGAATGTTTTAGATGGGGAATTAGGGTCAGAGTATTGAAACCAAGATTCAGACCCCATTCTGTTTAAATCTAAAGATTGCCCTTTCTACTGCCTTGCTACTATCAAAGAATGTTATAGTCTGAATTTTCAAAATTGTTTCTCACTAATTTTTCTTACTGGTTTGTATAAGCAATAGTGCTAAGATAATAAAATGATTTATTTTTTCATATTGTAGGCTGAAAAACTTAATTATAAGGATAAGAAACTAAACATCGGTCCAGCAATAAGAAAACAACAAGTAGGGATTCCTCGTATGTATTGACAACTAATGTATTTTTCAGTATTCTTATATGGTTCTTTTTTTAATGTTAGATTTTCTATAGAATTTCATTAACATATCAGATACCTTTCATTTAGTAAAGTTACTTTGGCAAAGTCGGCTAGGTGAAAATTTACATGAATAATAATGTTTAAATATATTTTACATAGTTACATCTTTAGAGGAAAAGTCTTAAAATATAATTTAAATTTTCAAAAGAAATTGGAGATAATTTAGAATCACTAACTAGAAAATTTTCTTACTAGAAAAAACTTAACTTAAAATTAGAGTAAAAGTACTGAAAGTTAAAATTTAGACCCAATATCAGAAACTCTTGTTGCATGGTATTTTCTGTAACCCAACCACATGTATCATAATTATCTGAAGGAACAGTCCCTAAAGTTTTAAGAATTGGCCAGGTTATATGCCTTCCTCAAATTTCTGTAATGCTTTCAATTCCTCTTTTTCCCCCCTTACTCCTCCCATTTATTAAATTAGGTATCTTTACAGTTTTTACCTATATTTATTAAAATCTCTTAACAGAGTCCTCAGCTAGAAGGAGCAACTTCACATAAAATTTGTAACTAAATTTCCTTCTTTCCCTGGCTGGTGTAGCCCAGTGGATTGAGTGCAGGCCTGCAAACCAAAAGATCACGGTTCTATTCCCAGTCAGGGCACATGCCTGGGTTGCAGGCCAGTTCCCAGCAGGGATGCACGAGAGTCAACCATACATTGATATTTCTCTCCCTCTCTCCTTCCCTTCCCCTCTAAAAATAAATAAATAAAATCTTTTAAAAAATTTGTATCTAAATTTTGTTCTTATTCTTTATCTCTATGCTAGTATCTACTAGAATGTTTAAAACATTGGGTAGTTATTATGCATCTGTTAACAAATTAATAGATTTCATTTGAAATGTTACGTTTTTGACTTAGAAGTTAACAGATATCAAGTTTCATATTGACTAAATTGTATTTATCAATTTAGAACAGTGTTCCCCAACCCCTAGTACTGGTCCATGGCCTGTTAGGAACCAGGCCACAAGGAAGTGAGAGTAGGCAAGCAAGCAAAGCTTCATCTGTATGTAGAGCCACTCCCCACCACTCTTATTCTGCCTGAGCTTTTCCTCCTGTCAGATTAGCATGGGCATTAGATTCTCATAGGGGCAAGAACCCTACTGTGAACTGCACATGCAAGAGATCTAGGTTGCATGCATTTTGTGAGAATCTAATACCTGGTGATCTGAGGTGAAGCTGAAACAGTGATGCTAACACTGAGGAGCAGCTATGAATACAGATTATCTTTAGCAGAGAGGTTTGACTGCACAGAGACACAATAAATCAATTGCTTGCAAACCCAAATCAAAACCCTGTCAGTGAGTGGCAAGTGACAATTAGGCTGCATCTGGTGGCAGGCTTTAAGTCAAAATCTGACATTTATTTTAGTCTGCATGTGTCCTGCCCACTATTTTATTTACAACTTCTGTCAGCACCTCTTCCTGCACTGCACACTTGTCTCAGTCACCATTTTGGTAAACCCACTTGCTGACCCTAGCCAAAATGAATAAAAAGCAAACATCTCTGGAGAGCTTCTTTGAAAAGGGAGAAAGACCCAAAGATGAGACAGCAGAAGACTCTAAGACTGCCAACAAAAAGAAAGCTGCATTTAAAAGAAAATACCAAGAGTCTTATTTAAATTATGGGTTCATTGCAACAGGTGATTCATTCTCCAAGCCTGCTTTGTATAGTATGTGGCTACTGGCTATCCAAAGAAGCCATGAAAACTTCAAAACTGCTCTGCCACATGGAGACCAAGCACCCTGCATTTAAAGACAAGAGTTGGGGTTTTTCATAAGAAAAATGTGAACACAAAGAACAGAAGCAATTATTGAAGGCCACCACTTCACCAAATGTGTCTGCACTGAGAGCATCATTTTTAGTGGCTAACCACATTGCTAAAGTTAAGAAGCCCCTTATTATTGTTGAAGAGTTGATCCTGCTGCTAAGGACATCTGTCATGAACTTTTAGGAGAGGCTACAGTTCAAAAGGTGGTACATGTTCCTCTTTCAGCTAGCACCTTAACTAGACAAACTGACGAAATAGAGGAAGTTGAGGCACAATTGTTAGGATTAATGAATCACTTTGGTATACAATCCAGGTTGATGAGTCTACCAATGTTGACAGCAAGACCACAGTGCTTGTTTTTGTGCAATATACCTTCAGGAGAATGTGCATGAGGATATGTTATGTGCAGTTTTGTTGCCAACCAACACCACAGCTGCAGAACTATTCAAGTCTTCAATTATATATCAAGAAAACTGAAGTGGTCAGTTTGTGTCAGTATATGCATGGACAGAGCAGCTGCCATGACTGGATGGCTTTTTGGTTTCGGTACTCAGGTCAAAGAGGTTGTTTCTGAATGTGAGTTTACCCACTTTCTCCTCCATAGAGAAATGCCGGCTACCGAAAAATGTCACTTGAAGGTAACAACATTTTGCAGGATGTGATTAAAATTATCAACCACATTAAAGTACATGCCCTTAACTCACATCTGTTTGCACAGCTCAGTGGGGAGATGGATGCACAGCACATATGCCTTCTCTTTCGCACAGAAGTGAGAGGCTTTCTAAAGGTGGATCACTGGCCAGAGTTTTTGAGTTGCAAGAGCTACTCCAAGGATTTCTTTTAGAAAAACAGTCACCATTGGCAGCACATTTAAGGACACAGAATGGATCACAAAACTTGCTTACTTGTGTGATATATTCAACTTGCTCAATGAACTCAATCTGTCACTTCAGGGGAGAATGACAACTCTGTTCAAGTTGGCAGGTAAAGTGGCTGCATTCAAAGTCAAACTGGAATTACAGGGGTGACAAGTGAACATTGGGATTTTTGACATGTTTCAAACACCAGCAGAGATTTTGAAATAGAGCCAGGGCCTGCCTTCTCCCAGCTGGTGCGTGATCACCTGTCTCAGCTTTCAAAAGAATAATGCTTTCAAAAGAACATTACTTCCCAACCACAGAAGATCCCAGAACTGGGAAGGAATGGATCCACACCAAACTTGGAAATAAGCCAGGTGATTCAGCTTTGTCCATGCTAGAAGAGGATCAACTGTTTGAGATCGCAAATGATGGTGGCCTTAAAACTATATTTGAAACAACAAAAAAATGAAAAGAAAACCTAGAGAAAAATTTTTTAAAGTGTGTTTGAGACAACTTCAAATCTCCATACTTTCTGAATCAAAGTTAAGACAGAATATCCTGAGGTGGCCACAAAAGCACTGAAAAGCCCGCTTCCATTGCCAACATCCTATCTTTGTAAAGCAGGGTTTTCTGCAGCAATAGCAACCAAAACAAGATTACGGAGTACACTGGACATAAGCAACATACTTTGGGTGTCACTTCTCCCATCACCCCCAAGTGGTACCGTCTAGTTGCAGGAAAACAAGCTCAGGGCTCCCACTGATTCTGCGTTATGGTGAGTTATATAATTATTTCATTATATATTACAATGTAATAATAGAAATAAAGTGCACAATCAATATAATGCACTTGAATCATCCAGAAACCATCCCCCAATCCCAGTCCATGGAAAAATTGTCTTCCATGAAACTGGTCCCTGGTGCCAAAAAGGTTAGGGACCACTGATGTAGAAGGTAACTGAAGTGTCCTCTTTAGGTTGATAATTCAAAATGGAAAACACTAAATATGGAACAGTGCTAAATATTTTCAGAGTACCATTGTTAGTTGCAAGAGTTAAGCTGTACCATGTAGTAATGGTTCTTTAGAAACCTATCCCCAGCAATAGGTACAAGTTCATATTGTGTTCATATTATGGCCCATGAGATACTAGAAATAGAACATCAGTCAGAACTATGGCAAATGCTTTCAGAGATAAATAGTTATTTAAGAATTATTCAGTGCAAGGGTCAGTGTTCCAGGTTTTCATTTATTTCATTTAATCTTTACAGCAACCCATGAGATATTATTCACTCTATTTTATAAATAGAAAATTCAGTCTTAGAAAGGTAAAGTCATTGTTTTAGAAACATTTCTGCTGAAATACTCTTAAATGTAGAGGAGAGTTGATCTTGGCATGTTGTGGGTCTTAACCCAATGTAGCATACCAGAATTCCAAATTTTCTTTAAAGTCTAATGTTCTATGTAAAAGTGTCATTCACAATTTGCATTCTGTTTCATAATATTGTATTCTTTATTTTAATATTAAAATGTGTCCTAAAAATAATTATTTGAATAAAACTGATTTTGTAGGAAGATCATCTTGTTCACCCTATGCTTTTTTATATTTCCTGGTATAGCATCCCATGCCCAAGTTTGAAAAGAGTAGGGTTAACCAAATGGTATGCTTTAGCCTTCAAATCCAGTACTGTTTGATTCCAAAGCTCTTTTTACTTTTCTACATAGAAATAGTAAATATTAAAAGTACATTTATAAAATAAAAGAAATTCTTATCTCAATTATTTCAAATCTGTCATTTTTTTCCCATCCCCATTACTGACTTTTCTAGTCCCAGCTACCCACTTGGCTTATCTTAATTACTGGAAAAGCCTTCCAATTGTTACCTCTAAACCTAATTTTGCTACCTTTCAACCCATCATACACAAGACAGGCAAGAGTGATCTTCAAAAGTGTGTATTTTTTCATGTTATTCTCTGCTTATTTTGAGCTATTCTTTTCCTTTTCATACTTTAGCCATCTATCCTTCTCTCAGTTTCAGAACATAGCATACTCTTGAAATACTATTTCCTTTACCTAAAATACTCTGCCATCTCATTCCCATCCCATTTATTTTTTAAATCTCAGTCCAAGCATGATTTTCTCACAAGTGCTCCATATACACATATATGTATTAAATGTTCACCCTAATACCCTATATTTTATCCAGTATAATACCCTGTACTTCCTCTTCATGTATTTATCAAAATTATATTTAATTAATCAATTGTGTAACTAGCTAATGACTGTCTTCCCCACCAGAACCTCTATGAATACAGACCATGGCATGGCATTTCACATCACATTTTTTTCTTTTTTTCTTTTGACTCTTTCACCAGGGACTATTTCAAAGCCTTGTAATAAAACTCAAAGTGAGATAAAAGGGAAGGAAATTCATGAACTTCCTGAATTGTGTGCAAAGTTTTGCTTGAATATATGTGGCTTTCTTTCATCAGAATCTCAAAAGGGATCAAATTGAGAATCATGAAAGCAATACTAGATGAAACGCAGTGAAAATATAAAAACCAAGAAGTAGTAGTGTTACTTAAAGTGGTAGGCCAGTACTGCTTACAGTGTGGTATACAGCCAGCAGCTGTGCACTTGGGATCTGTCAAATGCAATTCCTAAGGCCCTGTCTCAGACTTAATGAATCAAAATATTTGGAGATGGGCCCTGGAATTTGTGTTCTAGTAAGCTGCAAAGGTAGCTCTTAACATGTGTCATATCTTGAGAAGCACTGGTATAGTGAAAGGAGGATTGCCAGTTCAAGTACTTAATCTAACTTGGCTAATCTAAATGTTTTAAGTATCCTCCTGGACTAAAAAATGCATATATATTTTTTTAATTTTGTGGGGAGGAATATATCTAACTTGGCCTGAGAAAAGTGATGGGGACTCAAAACTAGCCACATGAAGATTTGTGGTCATGTTTGCAACAGCAGTAGTTGTAGCATAGGAAAATTAAGAGTACAAAAGAAAGTCATAACATGAATGAATGCTTATTTGCAATGGATCCAGAAATTTGTAGGGTAGAACCAAAATGTCTTTAAGAAAGTAGAATCTTCTCCAACTTCACTGCTTCCCTCATCTTTGGCCTTTTACAAATGAAAGGTCTCTCTAAAGTCTTAGGAACTTCACTACAGTGCTATATAGTAAATAAATTGTATATCATTTATATTTGTAAAAATAATGACTTTGCTGATAATCTAAATAGTTAAGCTTTGTGTTTTATTTTACTTATATTAAAATTTTCATTGGTGAAATTTTAGCATTCCTTATTAAACTTGTTCTTCTTTATTCATCTTAAGCTAACAAAAGCTCTAAAGTAGTAAGTTTGAAAATATATACTTCAAAGATGAAAACATATGGAACTAAAAAATAACATAACATTCAGTTTTTACTGTAGCTATATAAGTGTGTTAAGATAAATATTTTCCAGTGTTCAGAAATTACATTATCAAAGTTAAATTTAACATTTCAGTTACTATTATTTAATCTTTAGGTTCAAGTATAATGCCAGCAGCTGGAACAATGTATCTAACAACTTCAACTGGATATCCTTACACTTATCATAATGGTGTTGCTTATTTTCATAGTCCAGAGGTAACTTCTGTCCCACCACCTTGGCCTGTAAGTAATTTTATTTTAGAAGGGTTTTTATCTGTTACTATCAAATTTTTAAATATTTATTTTATTCCTGAAATATGTCAACTACAAACAAGTACAAATAGTAATATAATAGCTATGTATCTACCCTTCAAGTTTAGTATTGTTAACAATTTGTTGTATTTAATTTAAGTTTTTTAATTGGAAGAATAAAATATAGCAAATTCAGATAAATTCTCCTTGTCCCCATTGTCTTACCTTCTTTACCTCCTCAGAGGTAACCAGAATATCTTTCCTGTTTATTTTATGTTTTCACTACAAATACATGTATGCTTAATATATAGTACTGTTTTGGGTGATTTTTAAACACTATATAAATAAGTTTTTTAGATTAAACAATATTGATTCTAGTCTATCTAGTTCACTTATTTTAAAATTTTATAATTCTATTGTATGAGTATATATTCTCTAATTGGGGGCATTTTAAGTTTCTTCTACAATCAAGACTAAAATGAACATCCGAATCTTGTATTTATCACAAGAGTTTAAGATGGTAGCCTTAGAAGTTTTTTGCTTATATATCCTCTAAAGTTTTTGAAAATTATGAATACTCACTTTTAAGTTAATACCTGAAATTTATCATAATTTAAATGGTTTAGGTATATAGTATAGATTTGCTTTAGATATAGTTTTAGAAAACTTTGTAACTGTAGATTTTGTTTAAGAATAGAAAATATCCTATGTGTGGTGATGGATGTTAACTAGACTTATTGTGGTGATCCTTTCGAATATATATATATATCTCTCAAATCATTATGTTTTACACCTGAAACTAATGTAATGTTATATATCAATTATACCTCAGTTTTTAAAAAGGGAAAAAGGAAGTATGTAAAATGTCTTTCATATAACCCAGTTAACAAAACTAGTCAACCAAATATTACTAGCTAGTCAAATAAAACATTTTCTGTGTTAAAATCCTGATTTTAGTTTTAAGTTCAAATAAATGAATTAAATATGTATTCCTTTGACCATCATGAAATTTATTTTTTTCACAGGATAAAATAATGTATCTCTCCTTTAATATTTCCTATCCAAGATCTTTCTGCTTTGTTCTCTACTATTTCTCAAGAGCATTACCTTCTTGAATTGTCTGTTTGTTTGATGTTCTGTTGGTGTTTACATTTTAGAACAAAGCACTATAGCATGATCCAGAAAAAGGGAGAAAGGGTGCCTTTAATAATGAAGCAAAGGGGTAATTGTGAAAGGGGAGTTTGAAAATAAGAATTAATTGTACACCAACACATTAACAAATCAAATCAAGAAATACATAGGAAATTTACATTTGAAAACTTAACACTTTTAAACCAATTCGTACCACTGGAAATTTTTTATGTTCCATTACCTAGATGTATGCTAGCGTGTACACATAAAAGTAGAATTTTAAATTCATAGAGTATTCACATCTTTGAGTAGATGTTGCCAAATAGTTATACTTTAGCTAACAATTTATAAGAGCTTCAATCTCTCCATAATCTGCCAATCCTTTAGTTCACTAGATTTTTATATATTTGCCAATATTGTTATGAAATGGTATCTTGTTTTAGTTTTCATTTGCCTAGTCACTGGTAGGATTGAACATATTTTCATATATTTATTGACTATTCCAGTTTCTTCTATGAGCTGCCTCTGCATATTCTTTGCCTGTTTTTCTACTGTGATTGTCTTTTTCTTGAGTTTATTATATGAATTTTGTAAATATCTTCTAGTTTGTGGCTTGTCTATTAACTTTATGACTGTTTTGTCATACATAAGTTTTTTGTATTAATATTGACAGATGTATTCATGTTTTTCTTTATGGTTTTAGCATTTCATGTCTTTTATCTTTATTTCAAGAATATAGGTATTTTATATTTTATTTTTAAAATACTGTTTTTCACATCTGGGTCTTAAATCTGGACTTTATGTATTGACTAATATATTATTCTCTGCTATTTTGAAATGAATCCACTATCAAATGCCAGGTTTTCATGTGTGGGTCTCTTTCTGAGCTCTCTGCTCTGTTCTGTTGGTGTATTTGTCTGCCCTGCCAAATTCTGTCTTAATTCCTATCGCTTTATTATGAAATGATAGAGCAGTTACCTCCTTTGCTCTTCAGGAGTCTTTCATCTATCTCTAAGTCTTTGTTTTTAAAAATATAAATTTTATGATTCAGCTTGTTCAGTTCTGTGACAAACCTTTGTTGGGTTTTTGTTAGAATTAGATTAAATATATAGATTAATTTGGGACATTTTGGAATATTAAATTTTCTCATCAGTGAACATTTATTTAGGTATTCTTTTATTTCCACCCATCAATCAAATTTTATTTTTCCATAAAAAAAATTTTGACGCATTTTTTATTGGATTTATTCTGAGGTACTCTGTGGTTTTTGTTGCTTTTTATGAGTGGTGTATAATTTTTTTAATGTTTTATTTATTTATTTATTTATTTATTGAGAGAGGGGGAGGGAGGGAGAAAGAGAGAACTATCAATATGTGGTTGACTCTCACATGGCCCCCAATGGGGACGTGGCCCACAACCCAGGCATGTGCCCTGACTGGGAATTGAAGCGCCAACCCATTGGTTCAGAGCCTGGGCTCAATCCACTGAGCTACACCAGCCAGGGTGAGTAGTGTATAATTTTTAGTCACATTTTCTAATACATTGTGACTGGTGTGTAGTAATGCTTTTTAATTTTTAAAATGTTGATATTTAAACTGCCAAACTCTCATAGAGGCAATCATTTAGGGTGCAGCATACCTCTTTTTTTTCCTCTTATTGTTTCTCATTTTTTCCCGTTGTGTTATTTATGCAATAACACAGTGACCTTGTTCGTGAAAGAGAAACAAGTTCAGTGATGCACCATTAATGTTATACATATTATAGGTTCTGAAAGATACTCTTTTTTAATATATTTTATTAATTATGCCATTACAGTTGTTCTATTCCCCCCTTCATTCCCCTCCACCCTGCACACCCCCTCCCCCACCATCCCCCCCTTTAGTTTATGACCACATGTCTCAAGTTCTTTAGATTCTATATTTCCCATACTATTCTTGCCCTCTCCCCTATCTATTTTCTACCTACCATCTATGCTACTTATTTTCTGTACCTTCTCCCCCCTTCTTCTCCCACTCCCCTGTTGCTAACCCTCCATGTGATCTTCATTTCTATGGTTCTGCTCCTGATTTAGCTGTCCTCTTAGTTTGCTTTTGTTTTAGGTGTGGTTGTTAATAACTGTGAGTTTGCTGTCCTTTCAGTGTTCATCTTTTTTATCTTATTTTTCTTAGATAAGTCCCTTTTACATTTCATATAATAAGGGCTTGGTGAGGATGAACTCCTTGAATTTGATCTTATCTGAGAAGCACTTTATCTGTCCTTCCATTCTAAATGAAAGCTTTGCTGGATAGAGCAATCTTGGATGTAGGTATTTGGATTTCATGACTTGGAATACCTCTTTCCACCCCTTCTTGCCTGTAAGGTCTCTTTTGAGAAATCCTCTAACAGTCTGATGGGAACTCCTTTGTAGGTGACAGTCCCCTTATCTCTTGCTGCTTCTAGAATTCTCTCCTTCATTTTCATTTTGGCTAATGTAATGATGATGTGCCTTGGTGTGTTCCTTCTTGGGTCCAAGTTCTTTGGGACTCTCTGAGCTTCCTGGATTTCCTGGAAATCTATTTCCTTTGCCAGATTGTGGAAGTTCTCCTTTATTATTTGCTCAAATAAGTTTTCCACTCGAGGCTGTTCCTCTTCCCCTTCTGGTACCCCTATAATTCGAATGTTGGAATGTTTAAAGATGTCCTGAAGGTTCCTAAGCCTTTCCTCATTTTACTGAATTCTTATTTCTTTATTCTTTTCTGTTTGGTCATTTTTTTTCTCCTTCTGGCCCACTCCTTTGATTTGAGTCTCAGTTTCTTTTCCATTACTATTGGTTTCCTGTGTATTTCCCTTCATTTCAATTAGTTTAGCTTCCATATGTTCCTCTAATTTGTGACTAAAATCAACCAGTTCTGTGAGCATCCTGATCACCAGTGTTTTGAACTGTGCATCTGAAAGTTTAACTATTTCTTCCTCACTTAGATTTATCGGCTCTGGGGCTCTGAGTTGCTCTTGAGCCAGGTTTTGATCTGTTTGTGCCTGTTACGTATGAGGAGCAGAGCCTTAGTTGTTCACCAGGGCAGGGCCACCCAGGTGGCTGGTTCGTGATGCTGTATGTGGGGGCGTGGTCAGAGAGGGGCCACCCAGGTCCCTGGTTTGTGACGCTGTATGTGGGAGTGGGGTCAGAGAGGGACAGTGGCAGTTCTCTCTGCCGCTGGGGCCTGCGCAGTCTGTCTCACCACTGCTAGCTCCTTCACTGGTTTATCTGCACGCGAATGTGTGGCCACGGTCTGCCCTCAGTGGGTCCAACACCTTGCACCCATCTCACTGGGTCCACCCACTTCTGCACACCTGGGATCCACCCACAGCTACTGGCGTACCTGGGTCACGCGCTCAGGTCGGTCCAGTGGATCTTTCCTGCCCGACTCCACTCTGCTGCTGGCTCTGCCTCTCTTACCGATTTGGCTGAAGGGTTCATTGTTGTCAGACTTCCATGTAGTTCAATTTTCTGTGGTTTGGCTACATTTTTTGTTGCTAAAACTTTGTTGTTTTTAAACTTTGTTGTGTGAGAAGGCGAAGTGCTTCCACCTACGCCTCCATCTTGGTGGAAGTCCCTGAAAGATACTCTTGATTTTTAAACAGGGTTCTTCAACCTCAGAACTATTGACATTTTAGGCCAGATGATTCTTTGTTGTAGGAGGCTGTCCTATATATTGTAGGATGTTTAGCCATATCCTAGCCTCCCTACATATATGAAAACCAAAAATATTGCCAAATGTTCCCTACAGGGAAAATGTCACACCTGGTTAAGAATCAGTGTCCTGCCCTGACCAAGGTGACTCAGTGGGTTGGGCATCATAATGCAAACTGAAGAGTCACCAGTTTGATTTCTAGTCAGAGTACGTGCCTGGGTTGCAGGTCAGGTCCCCATTAGGGTCATGCATGCAAGAGGCAACCAATGATTGTATCTCTCACACATGGATGTTTCTCTCCCTCCCTTACCCTCTCTCTAAAAATAAATAAAATCTTTAAAAAAAAGAATTAATGCCCTAAATCAATTAAGGAAGTTACTTTTTATTCTGTTTGCTAAGGATTTTTATCATGAAAGGCTATTGAATTTAACAAATGCTTTTTATATCTGCTGAGATTATCATGTTTTTCTACTCCTTTAATCTGGTAAATTATATTATTATTTTCTAATGTTAATCTGTGGTGCAATTTTAGTAGCACATATAGTTTTCAAATTGTGCAAAACTAAGGTACTGTTCTTGAGTTTCAGGGGTAAACATTAAAACAGTATAAATTAGATTGTTAGAAAATGAATATGAATTGTTATCATTAAAGCCTATTTTATCTATCTTATACTACAACTTGCCTGTTTTATTAATGATATGGTTTTAAATTTGGAGGTTTACTCTATTGCTTTGAATAGCTGAGTATCAGACAAATATACTTTCTTCAGATAAATCACTTGTAAGTTTTATTAGGTGATTAATTTATTTAAATGTCAAATTAATAAAGTAGAATTTGACAAATACTTTAATAAATGATATATATGCTTTAATTAAATGTATAATAAGGAAATAGGATATCGATTATTTTAAAATAGTAGGAAATCAGTGGCAAATTCAACTGTGATTATCCATTTAGTCCTAAATGCTTTGTAAACACTGCCTACTGCTGGTCTCTACAGTGGAAAGAGGCAGTGTCACCTTAAGTCCACCTGCCATTTTCTCTGAATATTCTCCCTAGATCTATATTTTTATAATATTTGGACTAAAAGCAACTTTTCTGGTGGTTTTTTTAGCATTATTATGGATATGAAACAACATGGAAGCAGGAATACTGTGATGATTTTAAATAGATTAAGTGGAGTTGGTAGTAAAAATAAAAGATGGAAAAATGATTCGTTCCTCGTACAGGCCAGCAAAAAAAAAAGAAAGAAAGAAAGAAAAATTATATTTCCAGTCATAAACTATAGACTGACTGGGTTTAGGTAACAATTTGAGATAAATTTTACCTAAACTATTTTAAATAATTTTGCCTAAAACTATTTTTTTATTTTTTTCTCTTATAGTCACGTTCTATATCTAGTTCCCCTGTGATGGTAGCTCAGCCTGTTTATCAACAATCTGCATATCACTACCAGGTAAACATTAAATTAGAGTGAAAATCCTTCTTGATAATTTCAGTCCTTTGGGGGCAACTGTCAATCTTATTCTTTCTCATGCAAATTAGTCTAGAAATTAAAATAAGATAGTTAAGCCTTGATAGCAGTGGCAAAATAAAGACTAAAACATTTATTATTAAAAAATAGTACAACTAATTTTTAAAAAATCTATCTTCTATATTGTCATCTTGCAATAAGTTCTTTAAATAAGGTGACCCTCTTTTTTTAAATAACAGCTTTATTTAGATATAATTCACATACTATATAATTCACTTATTTATACGAGTGGTTTCTTACTAAATTCAGTTGTGCAGCCATACTGCAATTTTAGAACATTTTAATCACCCCACACACAAACACAGAAACATTACCCATTAGCAAGTCACTCCTCTTTCCCTCTACCCCACAGCTCGAGTCCACCAGTAATCTACTTTCTGTCTTTATATATTTGCTTATCCTGGACATTTTACATGAGTAAAATCTAAAATATGTGGTGTTAAAGTAGGGTAGGGTCAAGGGCAGGGAGTGCGGATGGCTGGGGTGGGGGGAGTGGTGGGAGGAAAATGGAGACAACTGTACTTGTACAATCAATAAAAAAAGTTAAAAAATAAAAAATGTGGTCTTTTCATCTCAGGTAAGTATCATTAATAATGTCTAATTATTCTGTTGAGTACCTGTTATTTATTATTTTTCCTTTATTTGTATGTTTTCCTTAATTAGTGGCCAGAGAAAATTAATATTTTATGTCCTTAAAATTGTCAGTCTGGAAAAGTCATTCTTTATTAACATTATAGTCTTCAAGTGAGTAAATATAGGAAAATGCCCCTCCCAAAATTTATATCTACCTTTTCTTACTCCTTTGAATAAAACAGTTTTCTTCATACATCAACATTCAAAATAAAAATATCATTTGATACCCCCCAAATAAATAAAACAAAATGTGTTTTTTTGTGACTATTCTTTTGCCTCGCATAATGTTTTCATGATTGTCCATCTGGTGGTATGTATCAGTATTTCATTCCTTTTCATGGCTGAATAATATTCCACTGTGTAGATATATTAAATGTTTTAAAATATTTCATTTATTTATTTATTTACTTACTTACTTATTTATTTGGAGAGAGATTTATTTATTTATTTAGATTTATTTAAAGGTGAGAAAAAGAAAGGAAGAGAAACAACAATGTGTGACAGATACATTGATCAGCTGTCTCTTGTATGCCCCAAATTGGGGGCCTGGCTCATAGTCCAGGCATGTGCTCTCACTGGGAATTGAACCAGCAATGCTTTGAGTGCCAAAGACTGGCACTCAATCTCCTGAGCCACACCAGCCAGAGACAAGTTTTTTTATTGACCAGATGAGGGACATTTGGATTGTTTTTACTTTTTGGCTCATATAAATAATGTCGCTATGAACATTTGTGTACAAATTGTTGTGCAGACATATTTTTATTTCTCTTAGGTCTTACACCTCAGAGCGCAATTGCTGAGTCATATGGTATCTTTGTGTTTAACCTTTTGATGTCATACTGTTTACCAAAAGTGCTGCATTGTTTTACACACCTACCAGCAATTTATGAGAATTCTACTATCTCTACTATCCTTGCTAACAACACATCATTGATTTTAATTTTGATGAAGTTCAATTTATCTTTTTTCTTTTGTCACTGTATTGCATGTGCTTTTGATGTCATAATTTTTCAAATTTGCCTGATTCAGAGTCACAAAGATTTATACTTGTTTTCTTCTAATAGTTTTCTAGTACTAGCTCTTAATTTTGATCTCAGATCCATTTTAAGTTAATTTTTATATGGTTTGAGGTATAGGGGTTCAGTTCCATTCTTTGGCATACAGATATCCAGTTTTAACCCTTGTTTATAATCTGCAGGGTCTTTTTTTTTTTCCATTTTAGGCCCCTGCACAGTGTCTACCAGGTCAGTGGCAGTGGGGTGTTCCCCAGGTAAATATTAATTTTTTTCACTGTGCTTTTGTGAAGACTGCATGAATATTAAATTCAGGAGAAATAGATTAGAGACCTTTCTCTTTTATTATTAACTGTGATACCTCTGGCAGTTTATTACTGTATTTCTCAGCTTCCTCATTTGTGAAAAGAAAGTAATGACACTACTATATACACTACTGTATACCTTTGTAAGTTTCCTCGTGATTTTTGTGAAGATCATGAGGCCATGTAAGTGAAAGCATTTTATAAATGAATGAGCATCACATAAACATGAAAAAATTCATCTTTTTCTATCAGTATTATTAGAAATTTTAACATTTTTCTATCCTCACTTCAGATTTTGCTTGACTTATGCTCCCAAATAAGTATTTTATTTCCCAAGTTTGATAACAAATAATATACCACCAAAAGATTGTTCACTCTTTTTTGATATTTCCCACTTACATGGGAAGTTACAAAGGTGAGAACAGACATTTATGTCAATTTATATACCATAAATTGTATTAGTAAAACCTTCAATAATCTTAATATAATTATTCAAAGTATATATGAGGTTCTGAAGCCCTGGGAACTTTTAGTGCTTAACTAGTGATACATTCTTTAATGTACATCTACACAACTAGAATTTATAACACCCAGAGTCTCTAATTTGTTGCTGAGATACTTCTATCCCTGAAAAAGAACTTAAGGGAAATATGAAGCAAATAATTCTTTCATCTATTGGGTGAGTCACTTGGTTTAATTGAAATAACTAACTGTATTTGAATTAGAACTGTGGCTGTGTGTTTCAGTCTACGGCCTCTTCTGCTCCATTCCTATACCTGCAACCGTCTGAGGTTTTTTATCAACCAGTGGAAATTGCACAAGATGGAGGTTGTGTTCCTCCTTCACTGTCTCTGATGGAAGCTTCCATTCCAGAGGTATGTATTAATCTCAAAGTAATTCATCTTTACTATCTCATCTTATGTTTATTTCTTTTTCTTTTCTAAAAATATTTGTTCAGGACCCTCATTGAAGCTGCATATTTTATGTCCTGTTTGATTTATTCACCTCTCTTTCCCTTTTTATATCTAAGAATGTTTTATATTAAGAAAGAATAAGATACCAGCTACTTTTTCTTCTGATTTGTCTGTCAGTCTGTATTGTTGCTAACATTCTGTCAATTAAAAGTATATAAAAATTGTCAAGAAAAAGCATTTTTAAAATTCTTCCTTCAAAAAAATAAATCACATTTATTTTATAACTACAAATGCTAAATATCATCTTTTGTGTCTTTAAATTATATTCCTTAACATTACTAATAACCTTCCTATCTATGTGCCATGAACTATACATGGTATGTTTTAAATCATTGTTTTGAAAGATTAGGAAATGAGCAAGCACCTCCTATTTTGAATGTTTTGTATTATCTTTATATTGATAGTGCTTATAACATTATAATTTTGTTGTGGAACAATAAATTTCATAGTTGGATCTTACTACTTACAAAAAATGCCTTTACTAGGATTTCAAAGTACCACAAACTGGGTGGTTTAAATAACAGAAATTTATTGTCTTCCAGTTCTGGAGGCTAGAAGGCCAGGATCAAGGCATTGGTAGGATTGGTTCTATTTAAGGGCTGTGGGGGGAATGATTTGTTCCAGCCCTTTCTTCTTGGCTTATAGATGGCCGTCTTCTCCCCATGTCCTTACATTATCTTTCCTGTCTCTGTGTCCAAATTTTCCATTTTTATAAGAATACCAATCATACTGGTTAGGTTCCATCCTAGAGACTGTACTTGGTTACCTCTGTAAATACCCTATCTCCAAATAAGGTCACACTGATATACTGGGGGTTTGCACTTAATACTTGTAAGTTTTGAGTCAACACAGTTCAACCCACAACAATACTTTTTTCTCTCAGAACTTCCTAGTATTGTCTTTTATGATGTTAAATGTAGTCATAACAAAGTTTAAAGCCCACGTGATGTTTCCCTCTTGTGAATAGTTTGCTTTTTTTCCCTTGTGCCTGAAAAGTCCGTCTTAACTTGAAATCATTTCACAAGAATATGTCTTTGAATGTATCAGCTTTTATAATATTTTTCCTGGGAAACCATTTGCCCTTTTGATTCTCTGACTAGTTTTTAAATAAGGGCTTTGTTTCTTTTTTTTCTGTTAGAGCTTTAGAAAAATATTTATTCTGGTTCTGTTTTTTTCTATAAATCTCAAAGAAAAAAGACTAGCTGTAAAACAGCTACGCAATACTTGTATTAGTTTGAGAAGGCTGATGGAACACAGTACCACAAACTGGGTACTTAAACAATAGAATGCCAGTTATGCATATATTAGATCTCTTTTTTGTCTTTTATATCTATCATCTCTAAGGTAATTTTCCATCGTGGTACTTTTTATGTTGTTTTAATGCTTTCTTAAGATAACTATGACTATATTTCTCATGTTAATTCTATTTTTATTATGACTCATAAGACTTTCATCTCTTTTATTTTTTATCTTTTTTCTCAATCTGTCAACTTTGCTTACATCACTGTAAATGTCTGTTGGCTTAAAATCTCTTTTTTTGGGCTCCTTTTTAGAGGTCATTTTACTATATTTAAGATCCAAAAGAATTCTATTTATCTTAATTTTTCCATGTTTTTAGGATAATTTCTCATCTTCTTTAACTTTTTCTTTGATGGAGTTGGGGAAGAGGCAGTACTCATGTTTAGTTTACTTGCTTTGCCTTTCCACCTTTATATTAATCTTTAACTGAGGCCAGCTAGTTTTCAAAATACAGGGTGGGAGGACCAAGCTGTAGTCTGAAAGCATCTTTCTACTGTGTTATTAAGTCTCTTGCTTGAAATGCTCTTCCCTTGGTCTCTAGCATTCTGGGGATTCATTTTATGTATTGGGTTGTAGTAATTGCTACTCCCTTTGTACCTTTACTCTGTTTCACCTCCAGCAGTGTTCCTCAGCTATAGGCAAGGTAGTAGATAATACAAACGAGGAAAATATGATTTATCCTTCAGTTTCACATTCCTTGCTATTAAATAATATAAATTTGGATCTCTGTGGAGATATTCCCTGCTTCTGCATTGGCCCAACACATGCCCCCTACACTTGAGACTCTTTGAAATGGGCTTTCAGAACATTGATCTTTAGGCAAAACTCATCCTTCCTGAAGTCTAAGGAGACTTCAGAGTCCTCCCTTGTATGGGTCCAAATTGCATACCATTTGTCAGACATACTAAGTAGTTTTGTGGTTTGGAGATCATGGGTATTTCCTTGTTTAATTGGTGATGGCATTTTTAAAAAATTTATCTTTGGCGGGGGGTGTTGTTGTTCCCTGGTTTTAAGGAGGGAGCAGTGAGATAATTCTTTTACTCTAGATTTTTCACCACAATCTAATATTGTCATCAAACCAGTATAGTCTAATAAGATTGTTCTGGAATTATTATTTATATTAGCTTGTTTCTTGTACAATGATATATGCATGCTTTTATTAATATTGTTTCTGGTAGAAAGTATAGGTTAAAAGTAAGTTACTAGAGTGAGTTGCTAATAGAAACCACTTTAGATAAAGCCATTAGCTTTCTATCAACAGTATAACTCTACTAGAAGCCCTTCAAATACCTCAAATTTTATATATTACAACCCCCTTACACACACTTACATAAACATCAAGCTTGCTTTTTTTGTATTCCATGTCTCAGTAAATACTTCTACTATCTATTGGACAGGGCAAAAATCTGCTTTGATGTGATCTGTTCCCCACCTTTTGCTCTAATATCTCATCTTTCAGCTATCTTTTAGTGTATTTCTTCTTTCAGCCATCTCAGACAACCTGTGCAGAACTTCCAAATAAGATGTGTTTTGGGTTGCCTCTATCTATGCCTTTGTGCATATTGTTCCCATCTTCTTTCCCTGGTTCTTCACATTCAAGCTTCAACTGCACTAGAAAGCTTTCCCTGATCACCTCCACAACTTTCTTAAGCTAAATCAAGTAATTCTTTTCTCCTGTCCATCCTTATACATGTCTCATGGGACTGCTGGTAATTTTGACTACTTGTCTTTATCTGATCAGTTTATCAGTTAAAGATAGGGGGTGTGTTTTTCATCTGTGTTTCTCTATTATGTAGTAAAGTGCCTAGTATTTTGTAATGATGAATAAATATTTTGAATTAATAATTAAAAGGCAATACATTTCTTTTCTTTTTTCTTTTTTGCAATAGCCTTATTCTGATCATGGAGTTCAAGCAACATATCACCAGGTTTATGCACCAAGTGCCATTGCTATGCCTGCACCTGTGATGCAGCCTGAACCAATTAAAGTAAGAAGTTTGTTTTGACTGTATTTTCTGGGTATTTTTTTGCTCATATTTTATGTTTTCCAGATTTCTCTTCTGAAAAAAAAACAGCTTTGGATAGTTACATCACATTTGTGATCAGAAGTACAGAATCAGTGAACTCTTTCATATGAAGGAAGTAGAATCCCAAATTAACTATAATTTCTCTTGATTAGTTTTAAATAAGTAATAAACCACACATAGTCAAAAATGTTTTATTTACTACGGTAAAATACATAAAACTTAATATTTTCCATTTTTAAGGGGACAACTAGGTGGTAATGTGTATAACCACCACAGCTATGTATTTCCAAAGTTTTTCATAATCCCAAATGGAAACTCTGTACACATTAAGCAGTAACTTCCCATCTCCCCCTCCTTAGTCCCTGGTAACATCTGATCTGTTTTTTTGTTTTTTTATGAATTTGCCTAGATATTTTATATACTCAGATTTTTATTATCTATGTTAATGGCATGTAAAATTTATGGGGTAAGATCCAGAATAACAGCAGAGTAGGATGTTACACTCACCTCCTCCCAGGATCACACTGGTATTACAACTAAAATACACTACAGTCATCCTGAATGACAAACTGAAGACAAGCTGAACAGTGAAGTCTTACAATCAAGAATTTACAGAAGAAGCTACATCGAGACTGGTAGGAGGGTAGAGATGCAAAAAGGACTGACCCTGCTCCCATGGGCAGCAGCTGAGATTCAAGAGGGATATCTTAGCTGCAAAAGTTCCCCCTGAGGAGTGTGGGGTCTCAACACTGGGTTCCCCAGTTCCTAACGCACAAAATCTCAGTTGCAGCCACTCTCCCTGTGCTCTGGCAGAGGTAGAGCAGAACAGACTAGAGTCATGTGAGAAGAGACTGGGGTTTGTGGCTCTGGGGAGAGAGCTGAAGGGATAGTCACGAAGACCACTGGTGCTGAGTCTCCAACACTGCAGACACCATCTTTCTTGGGTGGAACACTCCCCTCCTTATAGCATCAGCCTGAGGGAATGCAGTAGCCCTGTCCTCTGGATTCCCTGTCACCCCATCCATGGAACTCACCTCCTGCTGAAGAGTCAGCTGTCTGGCCTAGGGTATAGAGATCTGGGCAGACTCAGGGGTGGCAGTGACTGAGTAATGTGTGTTTGGGGTGTAGCACTATTTCTCTCACTTTCCTGTGAACCTAACTGGCACCACCCCCTCACAAGAGATATGCTAGCCCCACCCTCCCAACTCTTGGTGGACCCACCCTGCTGAGGTCTAGGCAGAATCTAAGACAGACTGGGTATGTGGGCAAGAGCCACTCCTCCCACAATCGCTCACACCTGACCAGCACCTTCCCCTTACGGAAGATCTACTAGCCCCACCCTCCCAAATCCTGGAAGCCCTGCCCCACTGAGCTTGGGCTTCTGTCAGAATCTTGAACTGACTGAGTTGTGTAACTCTAGGACAGTGGGCATTTTTCCCTCTCACGCCCAACCAGTGCAAAGCTCTCCCTTCACACAGCCAGATCTTGGTCAAGTTGAACCTGATAAACTGTGTTGGCCTCACCGTGATAACTCTCTGAGACCCTGCTTTACCATAAAGCCTATGGGTACCCAGCAGGGGACAGCTAGACTTGGTATACCCTGGGACATATGCTGAGTGGCCTCAAACCCAGCACTGGCACTCTTTGAATCTTGTCTGGTGAACACCACTTGCCTCCACCTGGTGACTCACTAACAACCTACCTCATGCAACTTAAGCACTGTCAGAGTCTTTCAATGACTGAGTCTAACAGGCATGCAGAGACAGGTGGAAGTGGATCTTGGGGTGCCTTTTAGGACCTTTGCTGAACTTTTCCTGGGCCCTGTGCTAGTAAAAGCAAGCCTTGGTGTGCAGATTGGACTTCCCTGTGCACACCCAGGCCCAGCAGAGGCAACCATAAACCGTGGATTCCTTTGTAGTTCTACACAGATTACCCAGGGCCAGTCACAGGCAGTATCTGACATTGGTCTACACCAGAGTCCCTCCCAACATCAGAGCAGGGTCACTTAGCTTCAAAGGTACAATATCCAAAGGCAGATTTCTACAGGCACCAGACCTTGCTGAGGCAAATTCCATTTTGGGTGGTAAGCACCTGCACAGCAGCATGTACACTGTGATGGTCACAGTCAGCCGCCTGAGGGTTAGCCCCACACACAAATGGGCCAACAGCAATCAAGACTTAATGATAAGAGGAGGGCTTACATGATCCACACAAGGGACATTCCTGGAGAACCCAGCTCAGATGATCAAGGGGACTGTGCCACTGGGTCCCACAGGACGCTTACCGTATATATAAGCGCACTCCACCAAGACTGGGAATCATAGCAGATCTACCTAATACATAGAAACAAACACAAAAAGTCCATTTTGGGGGGAGACCCAAAAAATGCGCCAAATGAAAGTAAAGAATAAATCTCCAGAAAAAAAGCCTACCGAATTTTTTGGATTGTAAGATCCCCTGGACCATAAGGTTTTAGAGGAGGAAAATAAGAAAAAAGTTTTTGAAGCAAAAAATGTGGTAAAATACTTAATAACAGGTCACTTCCCCCACCCCAAAGTGAGCCAGATAAGCTACATTCAGACTATAAGATGCAACCTCACTTTTGTTCCACAATTGGGGGCGTGCATCTTAACAGTTCAAAAAATACAGGTAGTGACATGGAGGCAAGCAGTTTACCAGATACAGAGTTTTAAAAAATGATTATAAGGATGCTCGAGGAACCTAGTGTGAACTTCAGAAAAAGAAAGAACACATAAAAAAAGGACATAGAAACCATTAAAAATAGCCAGTCAGAAATGAATGCGATATCTGAAATGAAGATACACTAAAAGGAATAAACAGTGAGTTAGATGACAGAGTGGACTGAATCAGTGATTATATAAGATAGTGCAAAATACCCGATCAGAGCAGCAAAAAGAAAAAATAATTTTAAAAAATGAGGATAGTTTAAGGGACCTTTGGGACAACATAAAGTGTAACAACATCCACATCATAGGGTTACCAGAAGGAGAATAGAGAGAGCAAGAAATCAAAAAACGATTAGAAGAAATAATGTTTGGAAACATTTCTAACCTGGTAAAGAAGAAGATATACAAGTCCAGGAACTGTGAGAATTCTAAACAAAATTAATCCAAAGAGGCCCATACCAAGACCCCTCATAATTAAAATGGCAAAGGTTAAAGAATATTAAAAGCAGCAAGAGAAAGACAGCTACTTATAAGAGCGTTCCCATAAGACTCTCAGCTGATTTCTCAACAGAAAAATTTTAAGCCAGAAGTAATTGGCATGAAATATTACAAGTGTTGAAAAGCAAGGACCTACAACCAAGACTACTTTACCCAGCAAAGCTGTCATTTAAAAATGAAGGAGAAATATCTTCCCAGACAAGAAAAAACTAAAGGAGTTTATTACCACCAAACCTGTATTACAAGAAATGTTAAAGGGCCTGCTTGGAAGAAGAGAAGAAGAAAAACAGATGAACATAGTTAAAAGAATAAAATGGCAATAAATACATACCTATCAACAATCACTTTAAATGTAAATGGCTTAAATGCTTCAATCAAAAGACATAGGGTAGCTGAACGGATAAGAAAACAAGACCCATATATATGTTGTCTCCAAGAGATCCACCTCAGAATGAAAGGTATACACAGACTAAAAGAAAAGGGGGTGGGTCCTGGCTGGCATAGCTCGGTGGGTTGAGCACAGACTGCAAACCAAAGGATCACTGGTTCAGTTCCCAGTCAGGGCACATGCCTGGGTTTCAGGCCAGGTCCACAATGGGGAACCACAAGAGGCAACCATACACTGATGTTTCTTGCTCTCTCTTTCTCCTTCCCTTCCACATACTCAAATAAATAAATAAATAAATAAATAAATAAATAAATAAATAAAAGTAATGGGGTGGAAAAAGAACATGCAAAAGGAAATGAAAAAAATCTAGGGGTATCAGTACTTATATCTGACAAAGTAGACTTCAAAATAATGGATACAGAAAGAGACAAAGAAGGATAATACATAATAATAAAGGGAGCAATTCAACAAGAGGTTAGAACCCTTGTAAACATTTATTCATTCAACATAGGAACATCTAAATATGTGAAGCACATCTTTTTTTAATATATTTTATTGATTATGCCATTACAGTTCTTCTATTCTCCCCCTTCATTCCCCTCCACCCTGCACACCCCCTCCCCCACCATTCCCCCCTTTAGTTTATGACCACATGTCTCAAGTTCTTTAGATTCTATATTTCCCATACTATTCTTGCCCTCCCCCTGTCTATTTTCTACCTACCATCTGTGCTACTTATTTTCTGTACCTTCTTTCTCCCATTCCCCTGTTGCTAACCCTCCATGTGATCTTCATTTCTATGTTTCTGCTCCTGATCTAGCTGTTCTCTTAGTTTGCTTTTATTTTAGGTGTGGTTGTTAATAACTGTGAGTTTGCTGTCCTTTCAGTGTTCATCTTTTTTATCTTCTTTTTCTTAGATAAGTCCCTTTAACATTTCATATAATAAGGGCTTGGTGATGATGAACTCCTTGAACTTGATCCTATCTGAGAAGCACCTTATCTGTCCTTCCATTCTAAGTGAAAGTTTTGCTGGATAGAGCAATCTTGGTTGTAGGTCTTTGGTTTTCATGAGTTGGAATACTTCTTTCCAGCCCCTTCTTGCTTGTAAGGTCTCTTTTGAGAAATCAGCTGACAGTCTGATGGGAACTCCTTTGTAGGTGACTGTCCCCTTATCTCTTGCTGCTTCTAGGATTCTCTCCTTCATTTTAATTGTGGCTAATGTAATGATGATGTGCCTTGGTGTGTTCCTTCTTGGGTCCAACTTCTTTGGGACTTTCTGAGCTTCCTGGATTTCCTGGAAGTCTATTGCCTTTGCCAGATTGGGGAAGTTCTCTTTTATTATTTGTTCAAACAAGTTTTCTACTGGTG